CTTGAAGTGTCCCGGTGAACACGGCTCCACGACTGATTGAGGGATATCATTCCATTTCTCCAATACATTGTGCGTGGAAAATTCTGAAAGAAGACTCAGCCTCGACATTTTGTCCGTAGCTTCATCAAGTGGCCACAAAGATTGGGCGAGAGACGCCAGTGAAACAGATCTCCAAAGCTCATTCCATGCTCCAGGCCATGTATTATCTTGTAAACCAGGATAAGATGACGTCTTTGCTGCCTGTAACACAGAGGGGATAAACTAAGGTAGTTCAGCCTTTCCATGTAAGATTGATTTTCTAAACACTTAACCAGTTTTGTTGCACGGCTTTGTACATTTTCGAGGCATGCTTGGCCCCTTGCTAGTATGGCTGCCATACTTTTAAATCATTTTCTAGATGAGGCTGAATAAAGGTGCCGTAAAACTCCCAAAGTGGTCCTTATCAAAGGTCACAAACGCCCTCTCGATCAAATCGAGCACTCCCATGGCGTTTTTTGCAGCCTTGGTGCACCGCAGGGGTGGTTTTTTGTTGCGCTATTACTAGCCACCGAGATGCTTCTGTGAAGATTCTGCAGGAAGACCAATGCCCTTCAAGTGATATTCCCTTATGCTATCATTTGAATGACAATTAGTTGGATGTAAATGAAGGATGACACACTTCTGACTCCCTTTAATTCAAATCCAATCACGCTGTCATTGACACAAATTCAAAACAGTATTGGTCCGAACAAACAGCCCTCAGGTGTCCCGCTTACAAAAGACATTTATTTGGCATAACCAATGCGTACAGACAGTGATCGGCAGATCAATAAGTCCTCTACTCAGTTTAGTAGACTCCTCTTTATCTCCGACCCACGGACCCTGTAGAATAACCGCTGGTGTGGAACATCCTTAAACGGTTTCTCGATGTCGATTCTTGTGTCTTCGTCTAACGAGTGGGACCACTGTTCTATTGAATAAAGCATGTTGGTTAGATAAAAATGGTTTCGTCGAAAGCTATGTTGAACACTTCCAAAGAAAACCTTATCTTCGAGAAAATTCGTAGTAGCTTCTTTGTTTACCCTTTCAATAACTTTGCAACAAATACATAATAAAATCACCTGCCGATTGTCGTTATTATTTGTTCAGAACCCGCTCTTATGAATAAGGTAGTCATTCGCCGTCTTTCTGTCGGAGGGGGCAATGCCTCGATCAAAGGACGACTAAAAATATGCGAAAGCGGTCTGAAAGTTCGCAAGCAAGCTCCTTCAGAACTCTTGTGGATATTTGGTCTAGACCTGGAGATTTACACTCCCCAGCCAAAAAAATCCTTCCTCATATCGCCTTCCGTGAAATCGACGTTTTCCATTACTACATCGCTTGTTCTAGTAGGGAAGTGCGCCCGATCCAAGTCCGCTTCATCTGCGTAAACGGATGCGAAAGTGGCTTAGGTGTTCTGCTTGTCCACTATTTTCGATAATGTTCCCATTGTTTTCTCCTTTTAACACTGCAACCTTCTCTTTGTTCTTTAGCCTGCGTTGACGCAAATGGAGGTCACTTTTGGCTTATCAGCAACCCGTTCTGAAATTCGTGTTTTATACTCCTTTCGCAACCTACAGACACTTGACCTTATCTCGATCAGGTTTTGGTGGAACGTTTCCCAATGTAAAGTTTGTTTTTTTTTGTTATGCACCTTCTCCAACGTTTGTTGTTTATGTTTTCTCTTCCTTTATGACTCACGCCTTTTGAACTCTTTTTTTCGGACTGTTTCGATACATATCTTTGCTGACAGCCCGTTTAGCTATATTCCGGTCGATATCAAGATGTCCAGTTAGAGAATCGTCTCCGTTTGTTAACAATAATTCTCTTCTCATTGCAGTAAAATTTACTCGATAGGAATTCACCCAAACGTCTGTCTTCTCCACTCTCTGACAGTATGAGCTGTATTTCCAAAACAACACGAGATGGTCAATCTTACCAGGCGATGTTATGAACCAAAGTTCGTCAGCATGAACTGGTACTTTTTTAAGGACAAGGTCCAGACAGTTTGCCCTCTGAGCGTCTTTGATTTTGGTTGGAAGGGTGACACTCTGTACGAAAAAGAGACAAGTTGTCAGCTTTAGGAGTCTGGAATTAAAGGTAACACGTAAACCGTATACTGATAAATCGTTCCATTCGGTCGTCGGTTGGTAGTTAACATGGGGAAGGGGGTTCTAAATGGAAGATAAAGGCTAATGGGGAAGGGCAGTCAGCAATGAAAATTAGGTGGTTGAAAACGGGGATTGGAACGAAAGTTGAAGGAATGGGGATGACTCACGTAAGAGCTATTGACATACAACGTGATATATCTTTGGCCGGTACCCGGCGAGCCGAACAAAGAATTATTTGGAGATATTATTGGACCTATGGGGTTTATGGAGGAGTCAGGTCGCGAAGATTTAAAAATCCAAAAGAAAACAGCCGACCACTAAGTGGAACTAAGCTGCATTTCGTCCGGGGAAAAATAAGATTAAGTTTCGAATCATGTCGCTCCTACTGCGTGTCTCACGAGAAACCACGGAAGGATTACACGCAAACATACGTGGAGGAATACGTTGAAGTGGGAAAGACACAGGTCTATGGGATTTAGATAATATCACGGACACTATGGAAGAGTCAACAGAGGAGTCATAAACCACAAATGTAGCTAGTGCTAATCTGGAAGCAGACGAAAACGTTTTGCGGTGACTTGAGTGGGAGGAAGGGTTAGAATTTAGGAGGATCGTCGAACCGCGTTTCGGAGGATTCTGTAGTGTAAACAACACCTCAACTAAAATGAAAGCATGGACACAGAGAAAGGTTCAATCAGACCGGATAAAAGCAGATTGAATGAGAAGGATTTAACGTCTACGGAGACTGTTTTGGATTCTCTAGCGGCCACGGCAGATAGGAGGGCGCGCAACTGCAGTAAAACGGTGTCATCACTTCCTCAGTGTAAATACCAACGAAAATGCCATGAGACGGCGCATATAGGAAAAATTTAACTCTAAACGAGGACACTGTGCTTCTTAAGAGAAACGACAGCCAAAAGTATGGGGAAACGGCTAAGGTAAGTAGTTGCACATACTTACAAAAAGTTAAGTCATCAACGGAATGAGTAGTGGTAGCGTGAAGAACCTTCTGAGCAGAAGCCAGGAAGTCACGAACTGAAGTCGATTAGTGGAGCTTATTGCTCGTGTAAATTAACCTCTGGCGAGATACGACCGAGGAGTTAAAACTGATCGTGACAATTGACAAAATTAATTGAGGCAAATGAGCGTAATAATTGAAGCAATAGTACCATACATCATGCGGAAACGAACAACGCGTTCTCGAAAGCCGAAAACAGTTGTTGCGTATATTTTTGCATAGTCAAACAACAGCGTAGGAAGGTTCCGGTTTACGAGAAAGTGCGAAGAGAAAAGTCGAAAGTGTATATAGACCTACACATCGTATTAAATAGCCTCACAAGACTGATATCATGACCTCACTTATGATGGTTTGTCTGAGAGGACGAGGATGTGTTAGTGAATACTGATCCAATTCCTTTCTCAACGGACGTAAGACTATGAAAAATGGGGAATGCTGCCCATTTCAGCTAATTAAAGACACGATTTCTGTGGGTGAAAATTAAATCAACACCATGTGGCGAAAACAAGCTAACAGGCGAGGAGGATTTTTACAACGGGGTGACAAAATTTATCCTGCATTTCAGTGACAGAGGCATCTTTTGATAGATGCACAAGTAAACGATTTAGCCTAATACTCCCGACTTTCATATATAACGGTGTCCAAACCCAGCCCCAGGAGATGGAATCGTCCCACGTATTCCTCTGCCGCTGATATGGCAAGTACTCATTTCGTCAAGCTTATTGCTATGAAACGATACCGACGGTCCACGTCAAAGGCACGCACTGAAATACAGTTCAGTTTATTGAGGGAAATAGACGTAATCCTTTGATTCCCTAATTGCGGCGTAAAATTTGACGAGATGAAAAGAGAACGCACAAAGGTTGGAATAACTGAAAGACGACCATGAAAATATAGAAACCCGAGCGTGCATTCTAAGCGTTGACTTAAATTGTGTATTTAGTCATCAGGAGTATCACTGATAACCCTATCGCTACTATGTTCTTCGAAACTTTCCTATATGTTTACACTTAATGCCCTTCCCCGAGTATTAGTTCATTGCGAGGGGCAATAACATATTGAAGGCGTTTATCCTTTGCCATATGCCTCTCCAAACGTTTCCTGATTTGTAAATCCTGGCGAGCTTCGTTCATTTACGTCTTATTAATATTGATGCTTGTTTCTCATTACCTTAATGCGTATTCACGTGCTGTGCAACATTTCATAATAAGTGAAACTGTTTCTACAACTTTTTAGATCTGTCTTTTCTCTGTCACGTTGTTGCCAATCGTGCTTCACAATTATCTTTCCCTCGTCAAAGCATTTCTTTATTTAATCTACTGGCTAAACTATCTGGAGCAAGTCATGCGTCGGGGATCTGTTAAAAAGTATCTTGTGGCCAATAATTCCACAGGTTTGTTCCCAGGAGTCGGGGTCGAGACGCTTATACTTACATAATAATCGAGAAACCTAAGAGGCCTGGAAGTGAATCCGTCAGCGTGAATGTAGTGGACTTTCATCAATGCTCTCGGATAAATCTGTCGAATAATGTAAATTTTTGAGAACCATTCGTAATATCGCATAATATGCATGAAAATCATGCACAGCAGACATACAATATACTGTAGACCTACACCGGTTCAAACTTCGACCGGCGCGACAGAACACCAAAGACGAATCTGAACTTCCCAAACCAAACTTTAGTGATAACCAAGACATTAGTTCGGCCTGTATTTAAAAGTATAACCACAAAATTCTTTGTTAGGTTATTAAAGTGTCCTCGGATTCTGAACAACCTATACACGCTGACAGAAGTGGGGAGGCCTTGTTTTAAAGGGGCTCGTGGAGCGCTTTCTGATTTTGACGAGTGCACGATGTCCGACGGGGAGTACGAGACTGCCGATGCTGGAGCTTCTAACGGCATCCCGATCTTATGCGGGGCGCTTAGAAAGAACGGGTATGTTATCATGAAAGGAAGGCCGTGCAAAATCGTCGATGCCTCTTCCTCTAAGACTGGAAAACACGGATCTGCAAAGGTCAACTTTGTTGGAATCGACATTTTTACCAACAAGAAGTATGAAGAGTGCAGGCCATCCAGCCACACCGTTTATCAGCCTGTTATCACAAGACAAGAAGCCCAGGTTCTTTCTGTCGAAAGTGACGGATATCTGCAGTTGCTACTAAACAACGGCACCACCCGTGATGATATTCATGCTGGCGAGACCCTCGCCGCTGTTACTGAAAAGCTGAAGAACTTGCAGGAAGGTGAAGTTGTTATGGTACTGCTTTGTTTTTCTTTTCTAACCCTTGTCAGGTTAACATCCTCTCGGCTATGGACGAAGACAAGTGCACAGACTGCCGCGTCACCACTCCCTAAATCTTGCTAACATCTGCCGCGGGCTTCTCTAATCACCAACCCTGTCAACTTTGGTTCTTAACATCAATATACAGGCCGAGAACGTCGACCCTTATGCCTCACCTCTATCCGGCGAACCAGAAGTTGTGACTGTTGCCTGCTTTATTCCTGTTACTACCAAACGACGCAGCCTTGTCAAATTTTGCTCTTTGCAGACACTTGTTTCTTTCTACATGTGGCAATGGAAGCGTGGTAATTGCGCATTAGTCATACCAGAGTCATATCTTGCAACGTTTATGGAAATTACTATTGGTCGGACGTGTGTATTTCAAACACGAGGCTGGTTAAGGTTCCTTATCAGACTTGGCTTTCTGCCGGCCCCTACGCGCTAGACACTAGAGCCATTACTAGTATGTGCGTGCTGGCCCCCACGATTCTCTGTAACCAACGCTCGTCTCATTCTTTCATGTCTTGCTCTGTTGGCCACGGTTTGTCCCTACTAGCAGAAGTGTCTGTTGGTCTTCACGGACGACGAAGGTTGTATCGTGCTTTCCAACCATTGAAAGAATGGTAACGCACTTCCGGGAGGCCGCAAAAGAGGACTGTAGCAGCACAGGTGTGCCTAGAAACCAATCCTCAGCCTGGAGCAATTGGGGTGAAGTCCATCCACTGGTTGCACTCGAGCGCTCTTTGCGGCCTAACTTTGTGGTCTAAACTTGGGTTGTGGGATTGAAGCTCTTTGACCGTGTTCCCGCAGGGTGCTAATTCACCTGGTAGGTTGCTTTGACGCCTTGCTAGTGTATTCAGTGCTGTCGAGTGTCGTGAGATATCGCCGTTGACCTCTGAGCTTTGTCCACCCTAAGGACCTTCGGGAACCTGCTGCCGGCGATTCAGGCCTAACAATGAGCAGTAGCGATTCGCGAAATGATTGGGCTTAGGTCCCCCAGTCCTTGCTCATGGTTGGGGGTGGGGCACTGGCTTATAGTTAGCCGTCATACGCGATGGAATTGTCTACACGGGGCTGGGAGAAGTCTGCCTTCAGCGAGTCCTCGAATTGGTGGGAGACACCGTAGTGACTTGTCTGATCTAGCTTTTCGCGCCGCGGCGAATACGGCATATTAGGGTGTGGAGAGGAGGCGGGGACGGCGGACGTCAATAGCAACGGCAGTAAACACCTGGGCAAGGGTTAGGGCCAAAGCCGACCGTAGATGGTGCCCGCGTGGTGGTGCAAATGGATTTGCCGCCGATATGGTTCCTCGTCCTGGTTCGTCTTGAGCGTTTCTGTACCGGTGCCGCGGCTGAAGACGCCCTTCGCACCTGGTTCATGTGCATGCCCGAAACGGAAGGCTAATTAAGATATGACTTCGAAAGTCAAGCTCTATTCCTAGGATTGTGGCTCATAGACGTCGGCAGGCCGTCTGGAGAGTACGGAACAGAGTCGGAGAACCGGTGTGAAGCATTTTATGTGCGACGCCTCCAGTGGCGGGGATTGCGTGTACTCGCTTGTCTTCAGTTTGGTTGGTTTGGAGAGGCAGTCATCCGCTCCGGGCATTGACTTGTTCTGGGTTTATGCATCGCATTTCGTCCCAGGGACCAATGAACGATAGCATGACCAAAAGCCAACTATTTAGGCCTAGGCACAAACGGTCACTCAACCCAAGGCTCTGATATCAAGTTCGGGCGAGCTTCCGCGACCTATAATGTCGCGCAGGCCAACCTTTTGCTCCCCCGACTGTAGTGCCGTTGGAAGTAAGGCACATGCACGAGTCTCCCTCACCACGAGCTGCTACCCGCGCAAGTCACCACTAAATAGTTGAGGAAGGTGGGGTAGTGCACCTGGGCGAATTTAACGAACGGTACGATGATGGCCGCATTGCGCCCGCCTAGAACTCTGTCGGTGGTGTCAGAGCGACTCATTGGAGGCCTCGCACCTCTACCAGGCTCTTGAAAGAACACTTAGCCATTAGCTTCTGCCGTGCCGATATCCACCGCGTTTGTCGGGTACTCGCTGAAGTCATATAATAAGAGTAGCCACATCTGCTGCAGCACGTCTGTGCTCTTCAACAGTGACCTACCGAAGTCAGCGCTTTTACGTGAGCACGCGGTTATGTGGGCTCGCCTGCTACACAAACGTGCCAACCCAGATGGGCTGACCTATTAGATTGACTTTATAGGCGAGCCAACCCGCATTATGTCAACTTACCTGGTCTCTATCTCGAGCAATGTGCCGGAAACGCATTAAAAAACATCGGCGTACAATATGCTAGGTAAATCAATGGGCGTGCGTCTGGATCAGTGAATCCTGGCTCCTCACATCCAGGAATCCTCACTTCCCACACAGCCTACTCATTTACTTGTTACCGTGTAAGCGTGCACTTCTGTCGTACACTATAACAGGGAACTCCATAGAGAAAAGACTAGTGTCTCCTATCCTCTCATCCAAACGGAAGCTAGTTCCCCGTTTTGCAATCAGAGAATAGGCACTATCATAGTAGCAGCGATTGGCTTCTGTGTTTAGTGCTTTCGTGTACTTGCTAATATTAGACAAACCTTACTGTAGAGTGGCGGAAACTGCACCTTCTCGAGCACTACTTTCCTGCGAAGACTTATACCTGCTCGTTGCACGAACCTCATTTCGGCCGAATCTGCCCTCGATCGAAGCAACCGAGGAAACTCCTGCACTCGGCTATGTTGAAAGAAGTCTTAGCGGGTGAAGAACCGAGCAATCTCACCGCCGCCGCCCAGAACTCCATCTAACTACCTATTGAAACAGTATGCACTGGACCAGGTGGGAGAACTGTTTGGACACTGTGTGTGATATCAACCAACGGAAAATGAGAAAATGGTTCAAATTCGTCTAAAAATTCATGGAAGAGGAATACATTTTATATTGTAAGTATCATTCATAACTGGCTTAACATAAGAGGGTCTCCATAAACCATCCCGAAGCAAGTAATATCGGGGAGAAGTCTACTTGGAGGAGGGGATACGATTTCTGGGACAAGAGCTCTACTAGCCCGACGTTTCGGATTCCTGTTCGAACCAATCATCAGAAACAAAAGCAGATACGGGTGGTTCATGCACAAGGGGCTGCAGTATTTATAGGATGAAGTCGTCATGCTACCTATGAATATTCACGGCTCCTCCCTTCATCAGGGATCGTTGCACTTGGTGTGATGACCGTTTGATAGCCGACATTCGCGTCGTTAATTTCTGAAATTTCATCACGTACGTTGGATGTTGGTGTAATGACTTCTCGACCATCTGACCCACCGGCCCTGACGTTGGGAAGCCAATGACTACCCGCGCAACTTCATAAACCGGTGCATACACAAAAGGGACGAAGGGCCAAACCGCATGGACCCCAAATTTTGGCAAGCACTTCCGTATGTCAAGAACGTTTCGGAAGTTGTCGGCCGCCTTCACGCACCCTTGGGGTTGGAGTTGCACAGAGACCGGAGGCAACTATCAGGCGTCAGATAATGAAGCCGAAAGACGCGCTGCCACGACAAGAAACGTCTGGAATCGTCTATCGGATCTCGTGCAGTTGTGGACAAAGCAACTAAGTCGGAGAAACCAGAAGACAGCTCCGAACGCGATTGGTCGAACCTGCTGCAACGGTGCGGAGAAATGACGCCAGCTCCCAAGTTGCGACTCATTAGACGAGATCCGGCCACACATTCAAATTCGACGAGACCAAAGTTCTCGCCAGAGGTGACAACCGTGTGAGCCGGGAGCTGTTTGAGTCATGGTTTACTGGCCCCTAGTCCAGAAGAAGAAGGAGGAGGAGGAGGAGGAGGAGGAGGACGGGGAGGAGGAGGAGGAGAAGAAGAAGAAGTGATCGCTGGAAAAAGGACTTTATTCGCCTGACGTTCCGGATTCTCACTTGAACCCATCATCAGAGACAGTGGCAGAAACGGGTGCCCCATGCACAGGAAGTTGCCGTATTTATAGAATACAGTCGCTATGCTACCGAATATCTATAGTAATTAACCACACTCCCCTTCCTCAGGAACTGTTGCCCGCTGGCGCGCTAATTGCTTGCTGGCCGGCATGCAAGTTGTTAATCGCTGAGATCTCATCACCCGTGTTGGATGCTGGCGTGATGATTGCTCGGTCACCTGGCTCATCGGCTTGCGCGCTCTCCGAGTGGTAAATTACTTTGGCTAGCCTATGTCTTAGCACGGAATATGGAGCGAGTTTTTCGTTGCACTTGTCGATAGACTGAGATCCCGTGAACCATGACTCAAGCAACCCGCGAGAATTTCGGCCCCATCGAATCTGAATATGTGGCCGGGTCTCATCGAAGGGGCCGCGACCTGAGATTTGGCTTTATTTTTCCGCACCGCTGCCGCGTGTTCGGTAAGTCGCGTCCGGAGCAGTCTTTCAGTTTCTCCGACGTAGTTGCTTTGTCCGCAAGTGTACCAGATCCGATAAACGACTCCAGGTGTTTCTTGTCGTGTCAGTGGATATTTTGGTCTCATCAACTAACGCCTTATGGTGGCCTGCGATCTGTGTGCAACTCCAACCCCGAGTGGTGCGACCACGTTGACGTTCTTGAAGTACGTGATCGCTCGTCAGAATTTGGAGTCGGCATGAAACATCTGGAGTCGTTTATCGGATCTGGTACGGTTGCGGACAAAGCAACTACGTCGGAGAAACTGAAAGACTGCTCCGGACGCGACTTACCGAACACGCGGCAGCGGTGCGGAAAAATAAAGCCAAATCTCAGGTCGCGGCCCACTCGACGAGACCCGGCCACATATTCAGATTCGATGGGGCCGAAATTCTCGCGGGTTGCTTGAGTCATGGTTCACGAGATCTCAGTCTATCGACAAGTGCAACGAATAACTCGCTCCATATTCCGTGCTAAGACATAGGCTAGCCAAAGTAATTTACCACTCGGAGAGCGCGCAAGCCGATGAGCCAGGTGACCGAGCAATCATCACGCCAGCATCCAACACGGGTGATGAGATCTCAGCGATTAACAA